CACCCTTAATTCATCGAGTTTAAACTCATGATGTTTATAATCCCAACGATAGCAAGTTTCAGCACTAGTTGTATAATTTAATTTACAAGGCCCAGTTTCGTAAATTTTCCACCAACATTTCAAACAACGATCTCTTTTTTGAACATAAATATCAAACCAACGTAAGTTGGTATCAAATGTAAAGCCACAAAAATAAAGGGTGCTATCCCATACGCTATCTCGAAATCGAAACTCATAGTAAGTGTTATATGGTATTTGTTGCACCCCAAGATCGTCATCCTTTGATTTGCAATGAACTTGTAGATTATGCTTACTATCTAACTCGTTAATTATTCGAACTTGATTTTTTTCACGAAATTCTATTGCCTCTATTATGCCTCCACTAAACATCATAATTACCATGGTTAATGTAATTATAACACCATTTCTATAGGCTTGATTCATGTTTTATTTAATAATAATTTGATGAAATTTTTTGGTATGTATACTTTGAGATTAAGCTAGAGGATAGGAATTAGGAAGAGGAATGTTAGTTTGTAAATCATACCTCACTTTTTAGTTTTATAGTCTCCAAAAAAAACTATGAATTTTTACTTTGGACAGTTCTAATGCATGCATTGGTTTCATTAGATGCATTAATTTTCCTAAAATTAAGCAAGATGTTATTCCCAAAATTTGGTTAATCAGTTATGTTTACATCACTTATGAGTTATGACACAAGTCAAGAACCCTTGAAAAATATGGGTTTTCGGAATAAACAAGGGAAAGGGTCGAAGGGAGGAGTAAAATATTAGTGTTCAAACTATGGAATGCCCGAAATTTTTCTTCATTTTATTTGTGTACGTAGTAATTAGATAAATACAATACTTGACATTTAACATATGCAATTAAACTAACCAAAAGATGGTAGACCTTACCAAAATTGAAAAGATATAAAATTTGGCAATTATGGCATAAAAAAAAAAATTAAAACAATTATAAAATACAATTGCTTTGTTGATGTCAACTAGAGTTAGAGTCTTGGGTGGTACCGACCTATAAGAGAGTCAATAAATAATTATTAGGAAAATATTTATCATATGTTGCCGTGAAGATCGAATTAGGCATGTTCACTTCACCTTATTTTTGCTGAACTGAAATTATTTTTGCTGAACTTAAATAATTTACTGATTCTCTGTTATATTTTCTTCTTAAAGAAAACTGGTTTTTACTAAACTGAAATTTTTTTACTGAACTGAAATTATTTTTGCCGAACTTAAATTATTTTTACTGAACTGAAATTAATTTTGCTGAATTGAAATTAATTTTGCTGAATTGAAATTAATTTTGCTGAAGTGAAATTATTTTTCTAAATATTATTTTTTAAGGTGAAGTAAACAGTGTTTTAATCTAGTATCTTGTTTTCAAGTTCTTCCTAAATTTTTTCTTACATGATCATACATTCAACATACATTAATTACGTTGAAGCTTTATAGTTACTCAAAAGAAAATATCACAATTTTTAAAAAAATTGACGAGAAAAATAACGGAAAAATGGAAAAACAGATGTATTATTTGAATTGTGTATGAATGGAAGTATATATATTATTCTCAAGTAATAAATTACATATCATAATACCATATGTATATATGTGTGACATATGTACAATGTACATGATAATACATTGTATCAAGCAAATTGGGTCTACTCTTAAGAATTAATCTACTCTTAAAATTCAATTGATTACCTACAAAGAATCTGGTATAGGTAAAAAAAGATGAAGTAAATAACGTACCAAAGGAAATAAAATCAATTAGAAGCCTTGAATATGGCACCTATATAAACAAGGCTTGTTTTTCTCATACAATTCATTAATCTCACAATCGTTAAACAAAGATGGCTAAACATACTAAACATTATATTATCATAATTTTTACAATATTTTCCATATTTATCTCCCAATATGAGGCAGTAGATCTTCGAATTTACAACGCATTGGAAAACAATAAAATCCTTCAAGTGCATTGCAAGTCCAAGGATGATGATCTTGGAGTGCACCAACTTAATTTTGGGGAATTCTATGAATTTAACTACCTCCCTAATTATTTGTTTCCTAACACATTATTTTTTTGTGGTTTTGTGTTTGATGATACTTTGCATTGGTATGATATCTACAATCAAGTACGTGATCAAGAACGTTGTCCCGATAGTTGTAATTGGACTATCAAAGAGCCAGGGCCTTGTTTACTTGATCTTGGGTATACTGCTAATTGCGATGTGTGGAATAAAGGATAATAACTTCATATGGTTAAAGCTATCGTAAAAAATGTTATAAGGTTATCAAAAAGGGATCGATGGAGCCTAGTTTACATACATGCATGTGTGTTTTATGTAAACTCGTAACTATTTTATAAGTGCAACTATCACAACTATTATTGTATCATAAAATAATTAAGTATTTTATTAATATATGTGTAATACACTAGTATATTGTATCGTACAGTACAAATCCTAACAATATCTCGTGCATTAGCACGAGTAATTGATCAAAAAATTCCATTAAAATGCCAAGGAAGGCAAGTATCATATTGTCCGGTTGACATATTGAGCAAACAAAGGCCAGTTTCATAAACCCTCCACCAACATATTTCGTTGCAATTTACGTAGTCAGGCCCCGAATCATAAACATTAAACCAATGCAATTGGGCAGGCTCATAGTCGTCAAATACAAAGCCACAAAAAAAAAAGTGTGTCCCCCCCAAAAAATATCGGAGTGAATTTAAATTTATAAGTTTCTCCCGACGGAACTTGGTGCACTCCTAGATCATCGTCCTTTGATTTGCAATGAATTTGAAGGTTTCTACCATCGCTCAATGTATTCATCACCCGTAAATCGACTTTAAATAGTGCTTCAATAACCGGGGAATCAAGAACTAGCAAGATAATGAGTAACATAGAAATTGGTACATATGTAACTTTGTTAAGTAGACTCATTATTCTTGAATTTTTTATGGTGGAACTATATTTGATTGGATGAATAAATCAAATTATATTGCTAAGTATTTTGTATAGTATTATGTAAGAATCATTTGGTATGAATTAAGCAAAACTTTGGCATGTTTTTTTATAGCCTCATAGAATCATTATCTTATTTTTTTCCATAATTGAATTTTATTTGAATTTTAATATTTATGGTCTATAGTAATGTAATTTCGGATAGATTATGGCTTGGTAATCTTTAAGGATGCTATTCATTGTATTCACCATATTTTGAATATTAAAACTGATTTTTCAAGTAAGTGTTACTATTTCTTTCTCATTTTATTTATGATTTTCTTTCCTTATTATTTACATAATCATTTACTCGGGCGTAATTTATTTTACACATTCACTGTTTTGGTTCTTCTCCAGTCATATGTGAGTTGTCTATATTATATTGTACGGGGTAATGAGTTTAACACTACTTCAAAATAAGTAAAAACAAAAACAGTGCACCCGGATGTATATAACATCCTTTATGAGTAAATCTAATATAGAATGATAATCTTATTATTAGCCTTGATTACAATTAGAAAATAATACGAGTATAAATTCAGGCATAAACAAATTATAATAAAAATCATCATTCTTAATTATCATAGAGGTTCATTTATCTAATATTGAATGATAACCCTTATTATTTTAAGTAAATAAAACATACATACAATAAATTAATAAACAAGTCACTAATTCTTAAGGGGTCGCCATTCAAAATCTTAGCTTAATCAACCCTAAATCTAAGTATTAAGCACTAGAAATCAGAGTTATGTACATATTCAAAATCAGAATTTCAATCTATGTTTGTAAAAAATCACTACTAAACTTGATGATCGTATAAAATAATAAGTAACTTATGTAAAGTGGAAAGCAAGCAAAAGAATCGAAGTAGGCACACTCAACGTAAGCAAAGCCAAGGCACCAAGGGCAACACTTGGTCGAGTATTCATCAATTGAGTTTGAACCACACCTAAAATCGCGCATATATACTCATCATATTGAGCATACATTTGTTTCTCCCATACCAACCATTCCTTAGGAGGCTCGTAATTTCTCTCAACCACCTTCATTTCGTGGATCCTTTTTCTTAAAACGATCATATTTTCATCCACTAGACGACCTTCATATTGAGACTCGTAAGAGTTACTCCTCCTAAGAGCTGAGACTATTGTAACATTATTTTTGGTATTTCTCGAGTTGAGTTTTGAAGTTTTGGCTAGGGGATAAAATGAGTAGAGAGAATTTCTTATTGAAGAAGAAAGAATTGTAGTTTCCATGATGCTAACAACTTTGGTGTAACAAGTTTGAAAAGGCTAAAATGTTTTTATGATCATATATCTCTTGGAACGGTCCATATATATATATAGGCCAAATACAAAGAGAATGTGTAAGCAATCAATCCAAAAGTATTGATATTATATTGGTTAATCATGGTTTATTATATTAGCCGACATTTTAACGCGTTGAAATGTGATTTGTGTATTTTGCATCGATACAGTTTGATGGTAGTTAATAGACGGCTTGTTTAGCGTAATTAAGAAAATAATATTTGAGTTTTAAATTTTTAATAATTTTATATGAAGATTAATCATAGAAATTATGAAGCTTAATTATTGAAGAAATTTCCTCATCGGTGATGTAAATGGTTCATTAGATGCGGCGAACAAGGCGGTATGGCATATTGGGATGCATCGATCACATGGAAGGAGGGCTAAATTATTTGGAACTAGTAGTTATTGCAACAGTATTTTGTTTGTTTATTTAAGATAATGTACTTTCTAAATCATAATTAGAGTATTGCCTTACCACAAAGTCGTAGTTGACAATCAACATATGTGGAATCCAATCATAGATTCGTTGTAAATACTTTTGATTACGAAATACTCTTGTCAATCTTCTTCATATCGTTTCTTTTAATCAAGTATGTCTAATATACCGAATTTGTTGATTATCATCAGCTTGATAGAAGGAAACGGGAAATCAGTAAATCTTGTACAATTTTGTCCAAATTGAATGCCATTTAGACTAACAAATGAATATATACAACAGTATTCGAGACATCTGCTATGCTGTAAGCTTGTAAGTGACAAAGATCGATATTCTAATATCTTCCAGACATTTTGTCCATTGCTTGCATTAATATTGACAATTGAACGCTACAAGTGCAACAATGTGCTCTTACCCAGCTCCTTTACAAAGGTCAAAAACTTAATTCAGTAAATAATCTTAAATTTGCTGCAGCACTATCAATCATCATAAGATGAATGTGGGGCTGATGTGCATCCGGGGTCAAACGCGTCTTCTGATCCACAACAATGCCAGTACTGCAAAACTTGGCCAGAGTTGGGGGTGTTCATTGTGCCTCCTGTGTAGACGCTCTCAAACTTCCTTTTTGTCTCTCCTGCATAAGGTAATGAGAAGCAAATAAGGAACAAGGAGGAAAATTGATAGACATAGATAAATACTCAATGTTATTTCAAGTCTTCTTCAAATCCTTAAACAGCCTTCAGGCTTAAATTACACCAAAAAACAACATTGCCTGCATGAGGAACTCATCTTTGTCATCAAGGAGAACACACAAGCGCCACATGTCCAGATGTACGTCCTCAGCAGCAAACAAGGCATACAGAATTTTGCAAGAAGAAAAAGAGAGAGAGAGAGAGAGAGAGAGAGAGAGAGAAAAGCCTAATCATGTCATTTACAAAATCTAGAGATAAGTAAGTGAAAAGTAAGTCTTAGCCTCTTAGGTATAACACTCCTGCTTCATCCCAGGCATTCAGCATCCAAGACTTTTCCTTTTCAATCCAGAACCAACAAAGTCAGAGTCGGCATAAAAGTAAGCTAAAATGGAGAGGGGTTTGACTTAGCAACATGATGTTAATTAAGTCACCTACCGATTTCAAATAAAAGTGTAAAAAGGAGAAGTCTGCTTGTATCAGTAATGAAATGGGAACGATAGTCTCTTGCAGACGGAAGTACATGTAAAGCACAATATGGGAACAGGAGCCTAGCTCTCATGCTTTCACTTAGAACAAACTTGCAGCAAGAGACTATATTTGCTGCAATCGTAAACTAAAGAAAGAGTATATAAACTCTATCTCTTAACTCTCAAATCCATTCCTTCTTGATATGCCTGATGAAAGAACTTGGAATATTATTCAATAATCACTAATTCCAACAATCTATCAAAAAACAATCAAGGAAACGGCTCTCCAGATACATGAGATGACATGCACTCTCAGTAGAACCAAATATATCATCCACAAGATGCAACCAATGTCAAAATTCAATGTTAATGCCTTATAAGAAGGTGATACATCCACAATTACAACTCATGGACCATATTATTGTCTCTCCCCTATATGTTAAAATAACACGCTTTTACTAATTCTGCTTATGATAGTTGCAGCATCCTTAGCTTGTCTCCATCACAAGCTCATCGGAGCTCTTCAAACGAATGAATGAGCAAGAAATACTCGGCGAAATCCTAGGTGAACAATGGAATCTCTGATAATTTCCCTACAAATTGAGTAGCAAGTATAATCGTAACTTAATACAGTATATATTTGGGCCTATCCTAGTGGAATGAGCATTTGCATTGTAAAGTGTGGTTCTTTTAAGCAACATACACACATTTCTTAAGCAACCCCAACAAATTCCTACAAAAGTCAAGAGTTTGAGACGATTACTGAAAATAGCAGTCGCAACAAAGGTACAATAGGAGTTTGGACATTTGGTAATTACTGTAATCATATATAGTTTGCATCTCCAATCCTAAATCATCTTGTTATCTGTACAGTTTCCTTCATCAATCATTCAACTATTTCCACAAATATAAACACCAAGATTCAATTGAAAATACCAATTCTATACAGAAAATTAACAGCATTAAATAATTTGAAATATGATTCAAAAAAACCCAGAAACATGAAGAAGAAAAATAGATAGAAACAATTAAAAAAAAAACTAAAAAATGTTGTAATTAAAAGGGTACCTCCAAAATGGGCAGTGTGAAATCGGCAAGCAAGAGGGTGATTGAGAGATGGATCGAACTGGGTTTTGCAATTTTTGCAAGTTCTTAGGGTTTTAATTTGTTTATCGGAACAACAACTGATTTTTTGGCGGAATTTGTTCTTCGTTTTTCCAGTGGGAAATTTCAGAGAATTAGTCACTAAGCAAGTGGAATCTAGTATGAAAAATGGAGGATAAATTCTGGGAATTGAATGGAATTTGAGGGTAGAATTCATTGATGAGTAAGAAAGAGTGTGTGAAGTTGTTGGCATTTCGGATTTGCGCCAATTGTAGTCGTGGTCTTACAAGAATGCAGCTTTAGATGAGATAATCAACTCATGAAAGGGATTTTTTTTTGTTTTTTTTTCCCCAAGAAAACGCACATTCCAATAAAATTGACAAAATTCCGGTACCTACACATATATATTGAGAGACTTAAGACTGATTTCAATAAGTTTTCATACTACCTCCGTTACAGGTTAAGTGCGACGATTAGACCTGTAACGGAGGTAGTACAACATTTGATCATAAGGCACAAGCATTGGTCAAAATGACATCCAATACAAATACACATTAGCATACATTTGTACAAATCACTCGATACCTAAAATGAAGTATGTAGTAACATAGAGTGGGAGGTTTTTAGACAATAGAATGGGGAGAGGAAACTAACGCCAATAAAACTAATATGCACTAACTCCTTACTTAATCTTCTAACATCTTACTTTTTTCCATGCTTGCCAAGGCAAATTTCTAACCATAAAAAACTTTAAATATAAAATTATAAAAATTAATATTTTGAATGTACACATTGAGACGAATCTAAAAGACCCTACATGAATATATTATTGCTAACAGTAGTGGACTTAATAGCAATGGAACAACTACAATACAACAAAATAAGATCAAATTCCTCCCAAAAAATTGCAAAGTTTTTATCATATATCTCAAATGTACTACTTCAGTAGCACAATTTGGATAAAATAGTGTACACCGGGCAATTCTGGGTTGTAGCCCCTAAACTGAAGTTGGAGTGTCCTTATCTTGCTGAATACCCTTGTCCTCGTCGCTTTGGCTTCCCGCATAACCATTCCTTATCAACTTGAGCTCAGATGGAAGATTCTTCCTGGCTTTGCGGCTACCCTCGATCTTCCATTGATCCCACACCTTTGTTTTTGGTGGTGGGGAAGTATCTCCAATGGGTGCAACCAACCCTGGCTTACCATCATCGATAACATCGTCTACTAGTCCATATTCTTTTGCCTCCCATGGGTTCAAAAAATTATCACGATCAGTGTCTTTTTCGATCTGTAAGGAAAAGGAATATAAAAGACATGTTATAGAACTCTACACAAGATGTGAAGGGTTAAAATTGCAGCTAGATCTCTTTAATATTACTAACCTGCTCCTCAGACTTTCCCGTGATTCTGGACAAGATTTTGTTTAGCTTGACTTTATGATACGCCATTTCTCTTATACGTATGCTCATGTCTGTTGCCTGGAACGACAATCAAGTAATTATCAATGCTCATGGAAAAATTACTATGCATTAATATCGACAGCACAAGGACTAATGATTAAGCTAGCTTTGAAATTAGAGAATTTAACAGATTAATCGATAACCATAGCATAAGATGTTGAAAAATAGAAAAGGAATACAACAATATGTAAAAGAGAAAACAGAGTAGCATCAAGTGCATTGTGTTAAGTTTGTACACAAAAAATAGACAAATCATATGATTAAAGCCAACTGGAAAATGAGTACCATTTAGAAGTATAAACTCTTTCTTACTAGGTTATAAATGGATAAAGGGAAATTGAACAATGTATAGTGCAGGCTTGCAGCAGTTTTGCTGCATGGCGTTTTCTCTAAAAATATACTCGTGGTACTTAAAAAGAAGCAAGGTAACTAGAAGACACGGCAAAATCAAACATTCAATGACATGAAGTTCAATTCTCTGCACATTAATCACATTCTCTTCAACCCTCCACTTTAGCTTGAAATGATAATAGAAATCAATGGTCGTTTGATTCAAAAAGCTAGAATATATCTTGAGAATCCCCATACTATGCTAAATTTGTTTGGTTTAAACTAGAAAGGATTTGTATTTAGTTAGAATTTGCAGGAATATATTTATAGGGTGTTTGGCATGAATATTGAAATTGGAGTGGAAAGAAATCATTTAACTCTTACCTTTTTATTTGTTTGGTTTAAACCATGGAAAGGAATTACTTAAGCCTAACTCCTTTCTTTTTGTTTGAGGAAGGTAAGGGTAATTGTTACCAGAGGTTATAGAGAGGTAACAAATAGCCTCATGTATATTGAAAAGCCAATGTATGGCTGTTGTAACTAGAACAATATGGAATCAAATTCCTTTTCTGTCATTCTGCATATTGTGCTGAAATTCTTCAAACGATGAACAACTTCACCCCTCCGCTACCTTTGAGGTTTAGGCATGCATCTCCTGGCTTTTCTATACTACTAGATGTAGTGACCATCCTCATTTGACTGCAAATTTGTGTACATCTTAAATATCTCCTAGTATATTTTTAAGTTTTTATCCTATGTAAACCTATAAAAACACTTTGTTTATGCCAAGGGGTGTCATGCCATTACAAAAAGTCGAAAACTGTTACAGTAACCAGACTATGAATTGATAAATTATACTTGTGATAGATTGAATGAAATAGGTGGAATCATTACACTGTGTAATGGTTATTGTTACCCAAACCTTTTAACCAAACATTTGGTAATGGTAATGGTTTAATTGAATCCATTTCCAACCCAAAAAAACTCTTACAAAACATTCTTAGAATATTAGGGGGTGAGATGGGTACAAGATTATAGGGGGTTGGAATAGAGTTAGATATTAATAGTATGAGTTTCATGGACAAAATTGCCTAGCCAAACATTGAAATGGATTCTACTCCATTTCAACTCATTCCAAAAGGCCCAACCAAGCACCCCTTCAATTTATCACTTAATATGCAGACTAATCCACTATATCTGAAACCTAAACCAGAAGAACATTAAATAAAGTGTCCACAAAAATATCAAAGGTCTAAATAGAGGATAAAGGATGACGCATTACTAAAGCAGAAAGACATTACAGCAACTATGAAGACAGAATAGTTGACGATCAAGATGCAAAACAAAAGACCAAAATATTTGGAAGCTCAGGGAAGAACATTATATAGAAAGAGGATAAAAGAGTCACATTTTCCCAATTAGAAAGGGGGTTTATTCCTTATTGGAATACTTGAATCTTAAAACAAATAGAAGGCCAGAAATCTACCTTGCCACCAGCTGTTCCAAGAGGTTGATGGATCATCACTTTTGAGTTTGGCATGCAGAAGCGCTTCCCTTTACTGCCAGAAGCAAGAAGAAATGCTCCCATGGATGCAGCTAATCCCATGCAAATAGTAGATACATCTGCCTTGCACTGTTTCATAGCATCATAAATTCCCATCCCTACAAAAGTGAATAGACCAGCTGAAGAAATTAACTGGAAACAAGAGAAATTAACTGTTTCATAGCATCATAAATTCCCATCCCTTTACATTATAAGTAGAGTGATCTTCTCGACTTTTGTCCTGATCTCCCACTACTGGTTAAACGAGAGATAGTTTCTAAATTGAGCAGAATAAAAAATAAAAAATAAAAAAAAAATAAAAAAAAATAAAAAAAGGCCAGCCTGTTGTCAGCATAACAATTTTTAGAGACTAACATCTGAGTATAGTAAAAGTGTAAAACAGAAGGTGTTTTCACATCATTCTCTAGATACAATCATACAAAACTTATAAAGAAGAAAGAGAGTAATTAATTAATGATATGTGGAATAACATTGTCGCTGTTACAGAGAGTTTGAATCAGTTTACAAGTTCACCAGATATGGCAAGTTGCCTTCATACTTGATCAGAGCAACAGAGCTACCAGACCTCATTGGAACCATTAGCAAGCTCAAAGAAGTACCACTTTTGACTTTTCTCATGCAAGTAACCAAATTATACTCCACATCATCACCCCACAGTTCCCATCCCTTCTAAAAAAAAGTGCTGAAGAGAAAAACGAGCCAAAATTTCAATTGTTACAAAAGGATTCTGGGACTACTGGCTGTCTAGGTTAGTCGAACTAAAACAATCTACAACATAATACAAAGGATAAACATTGCTAAAATGGTAAACAAGTCATACCTGCAGTCACCGATCCACCAGGAGAGTTAATAAACAATCTAATATCTTTCTTGGGGTCTTCTGCATCCAATAGTAAGAGCTGGCTTATGAGGAAATCTGCTGTAGTGTCATCAATCTGCAGACCATCACATCAAAAAGAAAATTAGCTTATCAACCTACAGATTTTACACTGTAATTTTTTATCTTAATATAAGCCCCTAGCTCTATTCTCAACCCTCTTGAATCCATAATACTTTAATTAAGGCAGTACTCTATTCACCTGATCTTCACTTTGTTGAACTTATCTTTATTAATCTGAACTAATCTGAACTTCGGTAGCCCCCTTGTATATAGGGAAATATTCGGGGGTGGTGAGGGGAGAGGAGGGGAGGGGGGTTACTAAGTACAAAAATCAACTCACATCATGATCTGCCAAGACTATGGCACCTAGCGGAAAGCAGCTTACAAACTCTTGTTCTGCCCCATACAAAGGTAATAAACACACTACACACTGAGCCACCGCATTCCCACCTCATTAACATGAGAGATGAGAACCCAATGAAAATTTTACCGCATAACACAAGTGTCCTCCAAGATCAGGTATACAGGGCTCTTCACATCGCCTGTTCGCAAATCGCTTACACTAACTTCACAACATTGCTTTCAAGTTCTAAATGTTGATAGCTAGCCTCCCAGCAACTATCAATTTGAATCTTGCAGCCTTCCGTTCCACTCCATACAAACTTCAGTAGCCCTTATATTTCTTTAACTCAGCTTATTTAAACTTAAATTTCCTAATCTTATCTTCTTTGAACTTAATTTTCCTATGATAAGTGAAAATAAGGTGACGAGAACAAAACTAATTCTCCAACAATTCCTCCCTTTTGTCCCCTCAAAATCAAGAAGTTTAACATCAATAACAAACTCATCACAAATTTCCCACAAGCAATCCCAATATTTCTTTAAATTGCAACTCAATTTAGCACACAATATTTCATTAAAACAAACGAAAAATTGAAAACTTTGACATGAAATTACAAGCAAAATCCCTAAAACCTCATCAAGCAAAATAACCTTCATCACAGGTAAAAACCCAACCATTTAAACCCAATTAATCCATAGAAAGATAAGAACAATAACAAATTAAATTAAAACAAATAAAGGGAAGAAAGTTACGAACTTGAGAACCCAAAAAGATGATTCTTTGACGAAGAAGCATATTTGTAATATCAAGTTGTTCAAATCTGGGCAACCTGGGGGCAAGAGCGGCTGAAACATCCCAATTAGAAGACAAAGTATTGCGTTCAATTGACCCTTTTAAGGAATTAGCTTGAATTAATCTGTTTCTGGTTTGATTGAATGATTTAATTCCAGAAAAAGTTGAAGGCTTGAATTGTTTGAAACCATGGTTGAAGAAAGTGAGTGGTCTTGTTGAAGAAGATGGTGTTGTGAATGTTAAACTGCTCAGTTCCATCTTTCTCTCTCCTTCTCTTGCTGGGTTGGAGTGAAGGGTATACACAGTAGAGGAATTTTAAGGATTTGGGTAAACAAAGAACGTTTTTGGTACTACTAGATGATTTTTTTATTTAGTAAAAATCTGTATAATTGCCTATATTATGGATTTGTTTTATTAATTATTCACAAAATAATATGCATAACTTGTGGTAGAAGGGGTAAAAGAAGCTTTTTAAGATAGAGTATAAAATATATTCTTGGGCCTCAACTATTAGTTTAAGCTTTTGGTTGATTTGGTCCTTTAACCTGGTATCGGAGCCAGTGTGATACAAAAATGGGCCTCAACACCCCCACTTTCAAGTGGAATATTAAGCGCTTTTTTTTTTGATAAATTCATTTATCAATTTAATTAACTCATAATCAACACTTAATCCATAGTTAATTACTCCTTAACAATTAGTTTTTCAAAAAAAAAAAAAAAAAAAAACTCCTCCCCACCACCAGCCACGCTCTCCTCCTCCCCACCACCATCCCTCCCTCCACCTGCAGCTTCCCTCCCCATTTCCATCCTTGGTGGCGCCAGCCCAGCCGCACTGCCCTATTGTCGTCCTCCCCCTCCCCAAACCACCATAAATTTGGTTTAATATTTGGTTCAAGTTAGATAATGCGTTAATGTGATGGTAAAGCACTAGAACTAACATATGGTCCATGCAAGATCAAGCCCCTTCATGCATTTTGTTTAAAAGATTTTTTAAGATTTCTCTGTTAAGTATTTGGATGTTTATTTGTCCCTTAAATTTAAAAATGCTAATTCGGCCGCTACTTTTACCCTTCTTCCTAACTTTCAAAAGACCTAATTAGTTAACCCAAAGTATTTTATTTTTTTTTTAAAGGAAGGTACTAATTGTGTCTTGTTCCCTTGTTATCCAAACTTAACTACTACTCCGTAGTAGATTTGACTAATTGAGTCATCTGACCAAGTTGTTCATCATTTACCAACCTTTCAATTAAAAAAAACCGAAGATTAATCCCAATTTTAACGCCCCACTTCAGAAAAAAAAAAAGTGAAACGTGCCACCATTACCGCCACCACCCCCTCCAATTTCTGTTTGTGGGTATTCTTAGAAATGGCGAGATTCTCCATGAATTCGAGAGATGAAGACTCCGACTCCGATCCCGACGACACACCTCTCATCTTTCATAACCCTAAAAGAACAAGAACTTCCCACACTTCTCCTGCCTCTTCTTCCTCTACCTTTAGTCCTTCCTCTTCTTCCTCTAACTCTGATCATCAACAATCATCACAACATCATTCTAATTCCGCTTCTGCAGTCCCACCCACCAATCCACCTGTCTCGGCACCCACCAACCCGCCTTCCTCGGCACCCACCAAGCCGCATGTCTCGGCACCCATCAAGTCGGCACCCACCAAGCCTCCTGCCTCCACTTCTGTTGTTCTAAGCGACCCGGATGTCTTGGATTGCCCCATTTGCTTCAACCCATTGACTGTTCCTGTTTTTCAGGTATTCTTCTATTCAAGCTTTAATCTTTTCACCCCTTTTTTGTTGATTTTGATTTTGGTGATTGATTTTTGTTGATGGGTTCTTAGAAATGATTTAGCTTTTTAGGGTTATAATCTGCATTTTTAGGTTTTGTGTTATCTTAATTAATGGGTCTGCAATTTTGCAGGAAGAATAAGAATTATGTAATGGGGTTTTTGTTTTGGTTGGGGATGTGTTGGAAAGTTTCAATTTTTAAGTGAATAGGGAATTATTGCTTGCTTGGATTTGGTGGTAATTTGGGTACCAGAAATGGTATCAATTTTCAATTGGTTATTGTGGCATGGTATAGAAATGGAGGTGGTGTCTCAACTAGTTATTGTGGTGGTATTTAGCAGACTGGAATTCATTTGGTGTTTAGCCGGGAGGAACCTATCGAAATAAACAAGTAACTTTTTTGGGCTTGTTTGTTGAGGATTAAGGTTAATACTATGTGGTTTATATAGATTAGTTTGATTTTGCTCTACTTGGGTATGCAAATGCAACATGATGAATTCCATGGTGAAGTGGCAGTGCACAACTTTCTCTTGTAAGTTGTAAGTTTAAAAGGACTTGTGATTGATACTTTTGTGGACTTCATGGTGTGAAAGATAGAGGAGGGTTGATGTTCTGTGGTTTCTTAAAGCATGCATCTTTTCTTGGTCATGGACAAATTATTATGGACGGTTTATGTCTTAGGATAGTTGATGGTTGGAAATGTTAAAACATGGACAAAAAAAATAAGATTTGGAATATAAAGATTCAATATGATGTTAGGTACTTGGACAATGATTCACTCGGGTTATGTACTTCTTCCTGTTATTATTGGTTATCGTGTATAGTGATTTACAAGCAAGCTTCAGTATCATGCTCAGGCTATCACTACTTTAGTAGTGCAGTAGTTTTTTCCCTTAAAATGACAATGCCTTCTTGTTCTCTTGTTGTATTGAATGAGTCGCAGCATTTATTCCATTAAGTAATTATTAAAATCACTTCAGTGTGATTATCTTGAAGATATGATTTAGATCAGATTATTGTGATTTACCCTTGTGTGAAGAATATTATTCTAGGATCAATCTCAAACATGAAATTTTGGAACCTTTTACTATTTTAGGTGCAAAATTGTGATTTGGCGGGATGCTCTGACAGCTCTGTAACTTGTGGTATCTGCAGGATTGCTCTACTTTTTTTTTTTTTTTTTTTTTTTTTTTGGGGGGGGGGGGGGGGGGGGGGTTGGATTTGTGTGTACAGTTGTTACTTTACTTCAGGGTTTAGACTTTCCAATTTTTCTTGACATACTTGTGTAGCTGTTTAGTCTTTGTTAGACATGAATAACTGGAGATAGATACTCTAGGTAAAATTTTTACAAACTGAATCAACTCATATGCTCATTTTTGAAACTGTAGATCTGACATCTAAGCCATCACTGAATGAGTAGATCATGTGAAACTTTTTTGCTTGCAAGCCTTATATAATATGACGTAATTATTGTTTGCTTGTGCAGTGTTACAGTGGGCATATAGCATGCTCCTCATGCTGTGTCAGCCTTGTTGATAAAAAATGTCCCTCATGCCGTGGGATAATTGGAAATATCCGATGTCGGGCCATTGAAAAGGTTATTGAATCAGTACAAGTATCATGCTGTTATTTAGGGTACGGTTGCAAAAAGAGAGTCAGTTATTATATAAAACATGAGCATGAGGATAAGTGCACCTACGCACCATGTATGTGCCCTTTTCCTGACTGCCTCTTCCGGGGTTCACCTATGAGACTTTCCAGCCACATGTCTAAAGAGCATGTTAATTTTGTGACTCGCTTCCGTTACAACTCTGTCTTCACTGTATCTCTGGGGACGGATAAAAAATTTCTTGTTCTTCAGGAAGAGAAAGATGGCTTTCTGTTTATCCTTAATCAAGGAAACGCAATAGCAGTTAGATGCATTGATCCAAGTCCCTCAAATGGAAGATTTGCATATGAGCTTGTATCAAGGGGAGGCACCTGCACCACCTCTCTTAAATTTCAATCTTTCACACATTGTATCACAAGGCATTTCAATGATCCTCCTTCTGTAGATTATTTTCCGATTCCTGATTATTTCTACCACAATGGTAGATCTGATGGCTCCCTTAAGTTGGAAATTTGCATATGGAAAGACGCCTCTCTTCCAGTCTTCAGCAGGGGCCTTTTAAAATAACTGAGCTCAGTGGGTTATCTGGCAGTGAAAGGGTGTTAACAGTTGGAACTTGCAAACATGCTAAGGTTAGTGTTCTGTTGTGGTACTACATTTAATATGGTCCCCTTCAAATTTTAGGCTTTTAGCTGGATTCTCAAGCAAGCCTTTCACGGTTTGCAACACATGGATGTTCTATTTCTCTCAGCATGAAATAATCAAGTTCACCGTCTCTTTTAGAAAACTTGTCAATTGATTTAACCTGATTAAAAGGGCTTCAATCAATTATCCAGTGTTCCTTTTTCACTCTGTTTTTTTCCCCCCCTCTTTTGCATGAATAATTTTGTTACCACTTATTGCTGATTCTAGGCTTTTCGTTTTTAAAATGCATTATTGTGTGAACTTTGACAGCCTGTAGAGTTGTGCACTCATTCATCTTATATACTTCGTATTTAGACTTTGAATTTGACAGATGACTAATTTAATTCTCCCTTTGTACTCTTATCTCTTAAAATTATTATACTACGTATTAGAAATGGGAATTTACAATCATTTTGCATCCACACTGCTTTACCTTGACTAGTTGGAGTGCGATTTTTGATTTAAAATCTTGATGACTTTGGCATAGCTGGAGTTTCGAGCACCCTTTCACCTCCTGCTTGTTCTATGGTTTGTAACTTTGCCTCCCGGTCTCCCGGAGGAGGGGGGAGGGCAGCTTAAGTGTGGGATTTTTTTTTTTTGGTTGAAAAAAAGTAGTGAACTTGATTTCATGCTCTTTTAAGCCGTAAGTTGGACTCATTTTGGGAAAGCAGTGGTCTGACGTCCTTGACTGACTGTTTGGTGTAGAATTTTCAAGTTTTGGAGCTTGCAAAACAGTTCTCCTGTCGGGCGGCCTCTGCTGTTTTTTTTTTTTTTTTTTTTTCTCTTCCTGTTAGGAAATGGATATGTATATACTACCTCCGGATCGTATTTTATGCAACTTTGAAATTTTTATATCTCACAAATAATACACCAAAATTGCATATAATATGATCCGGAGGTAGTATGCTATAGTTATGAATCCTTCTAGATCAATGGAGAGACAGAATGCTTGTCGTTTATGTTCATATTTTGTAATAATTTAATACGTTAAAGGCATGTACTATATAATAAGCCTGCACTGAAGAAATTTGCGTCTTCATTGTACTTAGCTGACATTTTCTCCTGGTAGATTCTCTTGTAAAGCTGTTTGAATATGTTTGGTATGCTTGTGGACTCCCAGGTGACAAGTTTGTTTGTGACTTTGTGAGTGAAGTGCAACAATTATTAGCTTGTTTTAACGAAATTAGAAATACTCGTTGATAATAAATTAATAACACACACTGTTCTGCCAAAGAGGTTTGAAAGGAGGCTGCCCCTACCCCCCAAAGAAGAGATGAAGAAAGTTTGAGATATACACTGGATTAGCATGAACATGATGCAATGAAATGCATCAAATTTCTTAGTTACAAAATATGTAGCAATGGCCAAAGGAGTCAATCCATCAAAGGCGGCCCTCTACAAATTACTCCCTCCGTCTCCTAATGCAAAGCCTCTTTTGGTTTTTGCGTGGGAATTAAAGTAGTTGTAAATTGTTTAAAACTAATGACTAAAAGTAAATATGTGGATGTGGGATTAGAGAGAGATGGAGGGAAAGAAAAAATAGTTGAGAATAATTGAAGAGATATTGAAAATTGATGTAAAAAGTACAAAAAAATGTAAGGAAACAAATGACAACTCATCAAAAAGAGGGTAATAATGTTAAAAAATACAACCTTTAAATAGAAAGAGGCATTGTATTTTGGCTTAAGCAAAAAAGAAATGAGATTTGTATTAAGGGATGGAGGGAATACTATTTTTCTTGCTCAGATATTTGAGGAACTTATCTCTATGTTTGCTGATAAAGATTTGAATTATGACAACCTCAAGGGAGTTAAAATTTGTTAATCTAGAAAGTGAGGGATAGCTCAAATGGTTTATTCCCATCATTTATTTTTGTGACTCTAAAATACAAGCGAGGGTACTTGTATTTGTTGCCTCGCTTGTAGAAAGTTTGATAAACATGAGCTCATGCTCATCTCAAATCAAAGGTCTCTTCCAAAGCCAAGGTGTGAATTATATCTGGTCACAAGTTGGACTTCTGTAGCCCCTTAGGAGCATCAAGAAACTCCTCGATGCTTAACATTGTCGAGTGTGAAAGTACATACAACTATCTTTCGGTCACATGTAGGCATGTGGTGTCCTTGTGTTGATTAAGGAATATTATGTTTGTAGCTAGTTATTTCGGCTTGAGACTGAGTTGATGACTCCAATAAACAACCAACTTATTTCGGCTTGTGACTGAGTTGATAATAGGACTATTTCGCAATTTCGCAAATTTGTTGCAATGGAAGCTAAGAAGTGCAAGAAATGATTTCAATTACCAACTATGCATTTCAATAACTTGTGAAGGTCGAGAATCCTTTGTTGTTTGTTTATATTGGGTTATTCATATTTGAACCCACCCATTATCATTGTTCAACGTTGATGCATAGTGTTGAGCCATTTGTGTTGCTCTCAATAATGCATTTGCGCATATTGTCTTTACAAGCACATCAGACTTTAAGACAATTAGTTAGAACTTGGCCTTAGCATATACTGTACTTTGTTTGCAAGCTCTGCAGATCAATTATTCAAAAGAATAAGAAAACTCTGCTTCAAAAATTACCAAAATTTTTACACGGTTGCCTTCATTGGTACCATAAAACTCAAAAAAGTTAAAACAAAATTTCAATATTGCTGCTCTCTTTTCCACATTGAAGTAGAGCATCTAACTACGAGTATATAGTTTTGTGTATGACTTTCATTTTATCTTCCGTTTGGCTGATGACTTTTGATCCACGTACGGGTATTCAGGAGGGGCAATCCAGAGCCCCCATAGTATTACCAAGTGGATGCAAAGAAGTATGCCGGATGAGTAGCTGTTTGACGGATAAACATTCCAACAACACTCAACTCCCACAAACAATGCAATGCTGCAATATGAAACACGGAAAAGTAGGTTAGATGCTGGCTTCACTGGTCACCTTGTAATCTAAACAAAGAACAAATAGATACCGCAACAATGTAGGGAAGGGTGTCTTCCACAACAGATAAGGCACGCTGAAGAAGTACCTATGACAAAAACAAATTGCCGTGATAAGATACACTGCTACATGGACAAATATATACATAAACATATCAGATTATGCAGAAACTTACCAAGAGTAGAACTGATAATGTAGTGAACGGGCACAAACGATACCAATGAAGTTTCCAACAAACATGGTAGTTACGATATCTGAAATTGAAACATGTGATTCAGTGTTTAATTAATTATGGAGATGACATTTATCGTGTCCCATCAATCCCAGAGAAAGCCAATTGCATGGATAACTTACGCTCTTCCTTCAGTGTTTTTGAGGTTGTGCCATACGCGTAAAGTCCCTTGAGAGGGAAGCAACTTACAGTAGAGATGTAAGCAGAATGCAACGCTTTCAGAAGTCCACCCTCATGCCTTCAAGACAGTAAATGATTTTCAACACTCCTGATCCTTAAATACAAATACTACTTAAAACTGCCACTACATTATGAAAAACATGCTTGAGGTTATATTTCTAGGAAAAGGCAGAGCAGATTCCTCTACAGCTTTACCCCAGGCTTTTGTCTAAGCAACAAAATCCTACGATACGTTTAGTGATTGAATTTAAATAGCCCGGCCAGCAAACAAAGAACATCAAGCTAGCCTAGAATAGTCATTAATTTCCATTAATATTAAAATGTAGGGTTGTAACAAAGAAAGTTCATGATTTAGCATCTCATCGGAAATCAAAGAGATATTAAGACCATGAACACCTTTCTCTACCAGTAAAGCAGAAAGTGACTTCTTACTTGCACCACTTCTTGTGAGCAAAAATAGCCAGGAGCCCGAGATGTAAAATCAGCAGTGTAACTGCAAATGCCTTTGAAACAAAGACTGGCTCTGGAACAAATTTGAAGTTAACAGACCTGAAAATGAAGCATAAGATTGAGGAAAATAGCATTGAACAATAATAGATAAAATTACCAAAGGATCGCGGTTTAGAAAGTAAACAACGAACACAAGTTATCATATTTCAACTATCAACATTGTAGTGAATAAAAAGTACATACAAATCCAGGGAAAAAATTATTTATAAGGAGGAAAAAAAAGGCATCAAAGATATATAGTGCGTCATTTGCTAACATATGCTCAGAAGAGAAAGGGGCACACATCAGGATGTATATATAACAGTAAACAAACACTCAATATACTTCCTTCGTTTCTATTTAGTTACACTCGATATACAAGACATGAAATCTGAAATACCCTGTCAAATATCACAGTGAAGCCTATAATCCACGTACATTAAAAGCCTATAATCCATCACACCAAGACCAAATTACAACCCCATTAAAGGTAATAGTCCATGAATGAACAACCCATCGGAATGGGAATTCTGCATAATCTAAAATCTCACAGGCTCCCTAAATACATCCTAGTGTCCCCTCAAAAATTTGTCATCCACCTAATGGACCACATGGCAACTGTAGAGCCAAATTGCAGGTAAGCCTCTTGTGGTATCTATCATTGGGTCTGGAACTCTGGATGCCACATTAGACCTAAGATTTATTTCCGGCTTAAAATAAATACCAGAAAGCTCGACAAAACTCAAAAATGGAAATTTCCTAGAATCACAGTCACAGACATCCTCTGATCCTCTCTGTCACCCGCAGCCCAAATTTTCCATTTGGACAACAAAAAACAGCCTTGGTAAACCCTGTTTTAAGAGCTGTAACTCATGTGCAACCTTTCCGAGAAGTCAAGAACCCACAGGAATTGTTGATGCAAGATACTTCCTTGATTTGTCCAATAGTCACAGGTTTATCCCCCCCCCCCCCCCATGAAGACAAAAGCCATATTAAAAAGACCCTTTGAGAACAGTTTAGGAAGTTTCAGTAGAAAATGGATTTAGAACTGGCTTGTTAAAGAAATGTCAAAAATTATGATTTCCTGAGCCACAAAAGCCACACCTTGTGTTCAATAAAACATCAAGATGAAGGAACACCAATGTGAAATAGTATCAGACATTGTTGTTCAAGTTCTTATTTTTTATTTTATGGTGCCTTCTCCATGCCAAAAAAAATAAGAAAATACTGAAGGAACCTACCTCCCACAATTCTCAAACATAACTAGAGCAGTAAGACATGCATTCTCGGCAACATCTATCCCTTAACCCAATACTCTGCATTAGGCAACATTCCTACTGGGTCTGTCTCACATTCTTACCTAGCAAGCGAGACAGCCATACATATATTAATGACTAACAAGTGAGGGCCTAATAAATATAATATCTAGTAATATCAATCTTTTATGGATCCCAGTGTGGGCATGTCTTTCTCATGTGAGCTTCCGTGAAAAGGTCCATATAATATCAACAGCGGTTTGAAAACGTACCAAAAGTGGATGAAAACACGTCCAAGATTGAAGGCTCTCGATATGTAAGCTAATGGATATGATACTAAAAAAGGAAACCCGAGCAGGATCTGCAGAACCATCATGAATTTGATTGGATTTATCATTTGAAATCAATGCACCTGACACAACAGCAGCAGCACTTGACATCTTACCTAACAATGCATAGCAAAAGCAAAAGAAAATTAAGCACATCCCTATGAACAGAATCTCGTAACGATAAGAGAATTTCTTGAGCAGGAAAAAATCATTGGGGAAACAATGGTTTGAAGTTTGATTAAGTCCAAGATTCGATTGTTTTGGTTACAGAAAACCAGTATTTGCAGTTTTATTGCTGATTTATTCTCAAGCAAAAGCAATACAAGCTTAAGCACATTGATAAGAATTATCTATTGTTTGACAGCAAGGTTGAATGTGTTGTATTGCAATATAATTCATGAAACTGAAAGTCTGAAAGGAAAGCACAAACTTAGACCTCATGGTTGAAAAGTTGGTAAAGCATTCCAAAGTATTAACAGAATAAGAACCGCCAGTTGGACAATCAAATTAATATTGAACATAAACTGAGGTTGAAATATCTGCTAAAAGCACTTAGTAAAATCTTGAGACATCTGGATCCAAAAATCAATCAATACTATGACAAATACCAAAATGTGGCTAATAGGTTAGAGCAAGCACCTGAACTAATCCTGCTCCTCCAAGAGCCACTATTGTTCCACTGATATCCATAGCCTGAGGCAAAAGTTTCTTAGCTTTTTAAGCAACGGAATATGAGATTAAATAGTAGAATATGGTATGTAGATACCTTCAACAAGAGTAGTAGTAAAGAAGGCGCATAGAGTAGCACATTCATCTTTATTGACACAGCCAAGCTGCATAAATACAAAGGACATAGTAAATCATATCATCTCAAATGTACAGCCTCATATTTGTAAATTCTAAAGTTTGAATTCTGAACAGAACCTGAATATTATTAACCCCAGCCACCATCTCTGATAAAGAAGAGTTGCAAGTGCAGCATGAAGAAGTGTTGTAGCAATGCAGTCATTGAAAAGACGAAGCACAAATATGGAATGCACCCTCTTTGATAAACAAAGAAGGCTAAGAGCCCACCAAGGAAGCTGTAAATAGGTAACAGCGCAAACTCAGATTAATTTCCCTTTAAAAACATATTTCATGTAATAGTACTCACAAAGAACTATATACCAAAGATATAATGGACCCAAAGCTTTCTACAAGCTCAGCCAATACCTCATCAAGTCAATTTATCCATAATATAATTAAAATGGAGATTAGGGCATAGTACAAACAAATACAATGATCTAACTTAATCAGATACATATGATATTCTCCTGAGACAAAAGTCTTCAGTGATTTTAATTTCCCTCATTATTACACCATACCTGCAAAGATAAGTCTCTTTTAAAGAGTTTTAAAAAAATAGTTTAACTATCTGCTCTCCTTTAACTACAGACTTGAAACTTCAGCAACACAGATGAAACGACAAGGCTATCAATATGTACATCCTCAAGTCACAGTGTATTGGATGTGATTCCTTCTTAGATCAAAAACTTTGAAATGAACTAAGCATTTTATTGTTTTCAAAGTATTCCTCTAATTCAAATTTTAGGCAATGCATGAAATGTGTTCAAAAATTATTTAACTTTCTGCATGACCAACTGCTCGCAGCTCAGATTTATTCTGACACATCATTCCAGAGGTATAAGTAAAACCCCTCATTTTAATGAGTCACTTGGCAAGTCTCAAATCACATTTCACCTAGGTATTTCAGTGTCATTTTTACTTCAAAGGCTATTAGGTTCCTCCCTGTACTCAAGAATTTCACAATAATATCAACAAAATAAGTTTAGGGCATGAGACCTTTCAAACATAATTCGAACACTCTCAATCAAGACACAACGCTGCCTCAATTTGAGCAGTAAAAGAGCAAGTAGCCTAGAATTTTCAGAATACGGAAATATAAGGTGTTCGAAGTATCCAAAACTTGTCACTGGCCTATATATAGATTTATACCACTTCAGTGGCCAATGCAAAAGCAATGATAGACAGCAGAGCAAGCATTAGAGTTGAGTGGGGTACAAGCATACAACAGGAGGAAACATACCACGTCTGTTTTGATATAGATGAACAACACAATTGCAAGATTAATAATGTACAGCGAGCCAAATAAAATCTGCAAAAAGAACAAATTCAGTGAGTCAGTACAGTAACACAAAGCAATAGATGATAAGAAGTGAAATCAGAAATAATTGAATATTTGATCCGCATCCCAACATAAAATTTTCAAATGGTTTCAAATTATTATTACCAGATTTAAAATTATTATTATTATTTTTAATTTTTTTTTAAACAGTCTTATAAGGGAATATATGATAACTACAACATATAAGATCTACTCCATAGTAAGCAAAATGTTTACAATAGGTTCTTCCTTTATCCCCTTAGTGGAGTTCAGCGGACTATTGTGTTACAGAAAGAAGGTTTGGATACCCAAATAATAATACAGCTACAGTATGCAAATGACAGAACTTGCCATGATGAGTCATTATACACTAAAGAAGCCTATGAACTTTCCTTAATGACACTAAAGACTCAATTGACAATGAATTAGCTAAGATGACACAGAGAGGGGAGAACCTGAGCAGGATGGACTAGTCCTCCTGTGATGTACTGAATAGCTGAATATACATAAAGAAAACCGGCCGGATAGACAAGAGGTCCCGTGTCACCTTCTATGTTACTATAATCTCTTTCTCCATTTAGAAATTGTGATACCTGTTTGGCAATATTATAAGTCAATACTGCAATTACTACCAAAAAGTCGAGCTAAGCTTCTTAAAACCACATTACTTAGTTCATGCTTTAAACATACACACCTGTGACATGTAAGCATCCCAATCAATTTTTGTGTCTGACAAAGAAACCATAATCTCTTAGAATAGCCAACCCAGAAAAACACACAACAATGTAGCAAGATTTTAAGATGAACTTACAAGGCACGTAAGCAATTATACAAAAGACGAGAACAGCATCGAACACAAGAAGCGGACAAGCAAAGATCACGGCTATATTCTTTTTAGCTCTATCCAATAAAGCCGGGGGCGTTTTCGATAGCTTGTGATCGGTCACAGGACCAACTTCAAGGGATTTTCTTGCTTTTGATCTTAACTTATCACCCATAGCTCATTCACCAAATTTCCAGCAATGAAATCTTCAGCTAATTATCACATTACACAATCAAGTATTAGGTTTTCATAGCAATTAAGCTTAAAATGTCTAAATTAATCATAATTATTACCAAAAAACTGATTCAAACTCCGCCCCACAATAATTCGGACTAATCTAACCAAATCAACCACGAATTTCTTATTTTCGAGCAATATAATGAGGTTCAATTCAATTCACAAACAAAAAGAATCAATCTTTTAACTTTTTTTTTTTTTGAATCAGTCTTTTAACTTCTAATACATAAATTAGAAACAAACCAAATCAAATCAATCAAAATAATTAAACTATATGATGAGCATGTTCTATATGAATTACATAAAAGCAAAACATTCGGGGAAAAATTAAGTTAGAATGAGAATAAATGAAATTAAGTGAAGAATGATGAATTAAAAAGCGGGTATTAGAAGGGAAGGTGAAAACCTGGAAATTGGAGAATTCCCAGAAATCGTTGCTGAGAGTTGAACTGTAAAGTCTTGAGCTTTCTCCGTTTCGCTACTTTGTGTTGCTTTAGGTGCAAGTGTCTAACAACTAACTGGTCTCCTCGGAGACATCTGATTAAACTAACTTCTACCTCGGTTAAATATTATTTATAATGATTTGACATAAAGTAAAGAAAAAATTGCAAATAATATGCAAGGGAGGTAGTAAACTTCTTAACCAATACTCGTAGAAATTAATTGGCAGATTTTTTAATTTTGAGAGGTCTATCTATTACGTATTGTAAATTTATAATGGTAGTCTGACTTTGATTTTGTACATAATATTGTACAATTGATTAAAAACAATGTACGAGTAGAAACAGAACTAGTAAAAGTGTAAAACAGATGGGATACCATATGCTTGGGTTGGGATAAGTTATTCATATTTAGATTTAGCATTGCTTCCTTGATTCCAAATTTTTCCCAATTTTCTTCTTGTTTAAAATTAATACTGCAAAAACTTGTACATAAGCAATAGTATTGTGAAAATATTGACAAATTTTGGCAATTTTAATTTTCCAAAAAAAAAAAAAAAAAAAAAAAAAAAAAGGAATTTCTCCATTGTTACAAATTCCTAAAACGTTTATAATTGCAATAAAAATATTACCTCATTTGATTTAATAAAACAATCGAAAAAGTGTCCAACTTTTCAAACCGACCCATCTAAACCCGAAAAAATGGTGACCCAAACTCGACCTGAAACCAATCCTAGACCCGAGTTGACTCGAGTATGTGAGACCCGAACCCGAACATGAACTGACTTGGAGATGACCCAACCCAAATGTAACCCGTAAAAAATTGACCTGAACCGAACCCGACTTGAACCGATATTGACCCAAACCCGTTTTAACCGGTCAAAACTCGAATTTAACCCGAATTGTTAATAACCTGACCTGAATTCAACCCGACCCGTTCCTAACCTGAACCAAATTCAACCCGACTTGTTATTGACCTGACCCAAATTCAACCCGACTTGTTATTAACCTAATACAATTCTGGAGTCCAATTAGGTGGTAGGAACCATCCAATTTGCCTTTAAATGGCGAATTTACCAGTTTAAAACTTGCACCGATTTCATCAACTCAAGCATACCACGAACATTTATGACAACATATAATGATCATTTATGGTTTAAAACAATATTATATGACCCCGAGATGTATCCTCTAAAATCTAAAATCTTTTCAACACCGGGCTCCAAAACCTAAAAAATTTCTCAGAACGCATTAATATTAGCATTTAATTTTGGAATTTTTTAACTTTTTTTTCGCCCGAAAATAAAAATTGACAAAATGTTTACCATGGTCCATTATATCCTCCGGTAGTCCAATTGGGTGGGTGAACCACCAATTTGCCTCTAAACGACCAATTTACCGGTTTACGACTTGCACCGATTTCATTAACTCATGCCTACCATGAACTTTTATGACAACAAATAATGATAAAAAATGATCCCAAACGACATTATATTACCCCGAGATATATATATTCCCTAAAATCTCAAGTGTTTTCGACACCGGGTTCCGATACCTCAAATTTTCCTCAAAAAACGTGGATATTAGCCTTCAATTTTGGAATTTTTTGACTTTTTTCCCGTCGAAAATAAAAATTGCCAAAATTTTTACCATGGTCCCTAATACCCTCTGGTAGTCTAATGGGGTGGGTGGAACCATCCAATTTGCCTTTAAACGGCCAATTTACCTGTTTACTACTTGCACCGATTTTATTAACTAAAGCCTACCACGAACATTTATGACAACAAATAGCGATCATATATGGTTTCAAACGACATTATATGACCCCGAGATATATTCCCTAGCATCTCAAGGCTTTTCGATACCAAGCCCAGAAACCACCAAAATTTCTCAAAAAGCGTGGATATTAGCCCTTTAATTTTGGAATTTTTAGACTTTTTTCGCCCGAAAATAATAATTTCCAAAATGTTTACCATGGTCCCTAATATCATTCGGGAGTCCAATTGGATGGGTGGAACCATCCAATTTGCGTTTAAACGGCTAATTTACCGGTTTATTACTTGCACCGATTTCATTAACTCAAGCCTACCACGAACATTTATGACAACAAATAATGATCATATACGGTTCCTAACAGCGTTAAATGACCTCGAGATGTATCGTCTAAAATTTCAATACTTTTCGACACCGGGCCCTGAATCCTCCAAAATTTCTCAAAAAACGTGGATATTAGCCTTCAATTTTGAAATTTTTGACTTTTTTCGCCCGGAAATTAAAAATTGTCAAAATGTTTAACATGGTCCCTAATATCGTCAGGGAGTCACATTGGGTGAGTGGAACCATCCACTTTGCCTTCAAACGACCAATTTACCGGTTTACAAGTTGCATCGATTTTATCAATTCAAGCCTACCACGAACATTAATTACAGAAAATAATGATAATATATGGTTCCAAACAGCATTATATGACCTCGAAATGTATCACTTAGAATTTCAAGACTTTTCGACACCGGGCCCCAAATCCTCCAAAATTTCTCAAAAAGCGTGGATATTAGTTGAAATTTTCGACTTTTTTCGCCCGGGAAAAAAAATTGGCGAAATATTTACCATGGTCCCTAATACCGCCTGGGAGTCCCATTGGGTGGGTGGAACCATCCAATTTGTCTTTAAACGGCTAATTTACCGGTTTATTACTTGCACCGATTTCATGAATTCAAGCCTACCACGAACATTTATGACAACAAATAATGATCATATATGGTTCTAAACAGCACTATATGACCTCGAGATGTATCCCCTAAAATTTCAAAACTTTTCGACATCGAGCCCAAAACCTCCAAAAAATTTTAAAAAGAGTGGATATTATTCTTCAATTTTGGAATTTTTTTGTCTTTTTTTTGCCCGGAAATAAAAATTGCGGAAATGTTTACCACTGTCCCTAATTTCCTCCGAGAGTCCAATTGGGTTGGTGGAACCATCCAAATTGTCTTTAAACGGCCAATTTACCGGTTTACTACTTGCACCGATTTTATTAACTGAAGTCTACCACAAACATTTTTGACACCAAATAGTGATCATATATGGTTCCAAACGAAATTATATAACCCCAATATATATTCCCTAAAATCTCAAGGCTTTTCAATACCAAACCACGAAACCTCCAAAATTTCTCAAAAAGCGTGGATATTAGCCTTTAATTTTGGAAGTTTTAGACTTTTTTCGCCCGGAAATAATACTTGCCGAAATGTTTACCATGGTCCCTAATACCCTTCGGGAGTCCAATTGGGTGGGTGGAACCATCCAATTTGCGTATAAACTACCTATTTACTGGTTTATAACTTGTACCGATTTCATTAATTCAAGCCTACTACGAACATTTATGACAACAAAGAATCATATATGGTTCCAAATAGGATTAAAAGACCTCGAGATGTATCGCCTAGAATTTCAAGACTTTTCGACACCGGGCCCCAAATCCTCCAAAATTTCTCAAAAAGCGTGGATATTAGCCTTCCATTTTGAAATTTTTGACTTTTTTCGCCCGGAAATAAAAGTTGTCGAAATGTTTACCATGGTCCCTTATACCGTCTGGGAGTCCCATTGGGTGGGTGGAACCATCCAATTTACCTTTAAACGACCAATTTACTGGTTTACAACTTGCACTGATTTCATTAATTCAAGTCTACCGCGAACATTTATGGCAGTAAATAATGATCATACATGGTTCCAAACAGCATTATATGACCTCGAGATACATCGCCTAGAATTTCAAGAATTTTCAACGCCGGGACTCGAATCCTTCAAAATTTCTCAAAAAGCGTGGATATTAGCCTTTTATTTTGAAATTTTCGACTTTTTTTCGCCCAAAAATAAAAATTGCCGAAATATTTACCATGGTCCCTAATACCATTCGGGAGTCCAATTAGTTACATGGGTGGAACCAACCAATTTGCCTTTAAACGGCCAATTTACCGGTTTACAACTTGCACCGATTTCATTAACTTAAGCCTACCATTGCACGAACATTTATGACAACATATAATGATCATTTATGGTTCCAAAAGACATCATATGACCCCGAGATGTATCCATTAAAATCTCATTTCTTTTCGACACCAGCCTCGAAACCATCGAAATTTCTCAAAAAGCATGGATATTAGCCATCAATTATGGAATTTTTTGACTTTTTTCGCCCGGAAATAAAAATTGCCATAATGTTTATCATGGTCCCTAATACCCTTAGGGAGATCAGATGGGTGGGTGGAACCATCCTATTTGCCTTTAAACGACCAATTTACCGGTTTACAACTTGCACCGATTTCATTAATTCAATCCTACCACGAACATTTATGACAACAAATAATGATCATATATGGTTCTAAACAGAATTATATGACCTCGAGATGTATCGTCTAAAATTTCAAGACTTTTCGACACCGAGCCTGAAACCTCCAAAATTTCTTAAAAAGAGTGGATATTATTCTTCAATTATGGAATGTTTTGAATTTTTTTTGTAACACCCGACCCCAAACAAATTAGGGAGGAGCCTATTGTTACGAAATGCGCATCTAGGGCCAACAACTATCCCCACAAACCAACACAAGTCCTTCCGGCGCATTTTGTCAGCCAAGCACGCTTAACTATGGAGTATTCTTAGCAAATGAGCTCCCAAAAAGGAAGATGCATCTTGTTGATATGAGTAGTATATCAAATCCTTTTTGAAGCATTCATGAGGGGTATTACATACACCCCCACTTGAGAACGGCAACGCCCTCATTGCGCTTGGAAAGCTAGGGACTCCAGTGTTACGCCTAATGGCAACTGGGTAGCCAAAGTGTTACATCCAGTCTGGCTATGGCCATATGGCCCTAGAATTCTCCCCCGCTAGACGACTAACATATGATTAATTATCCACGGTTAGCACGTGGTCGCAGGGTTTCTCTGATACCATTTGTAACACCCCGACCCCAAACAAATTAGGGAGGGGCCTATTGTCACGAAATGCGCATCGAGGGCCAACAACTGTCCCCACAAACCAACACAAGTCCTTCCGGCGCATTTTGTCCTCACTCATGCGCACCCCAAGAAAACTTCCCAGGAGGTCACCCATCCCAAGACTACT